ACTTGATAAGGATGACCTCCTTTGAGGATATAAAATTGTCAAGCTGAACAGAAATAGCTTATATTGAAAAAACTAGCAGAAGCTACAAAAAGTAATGAGTTAGAAGCTGAACTATTAAAATTTTAATAAAAGTCTACAAAAAGGCATTTTGAGGTATTTACAGGAAGTTACGGAACACCCTCTAGGTTTCATCTAAAATTTTTCCAGAGAGAAAATTGATCGATAAACATGTTAGAATATTCCCCTGCAAATATAAAAATGTGTTCTCCTATTATGTTTATAATTCATACTTAACATTTGACTTCTTCAGATTGACATTTAAAAGTTACAAGTAAGTTCTATTGTATGACTAATGGGCTGGCTAGTCAGATTAATCGCTGGAGTGGAACGCTAGCATATTTTCTGCACACATTTCTTTGAATACTTATTTTGGTTCGTCACAGCCATCTGAGTGTAGGTATTTCCTTCCTGCCCTTCGAGGGCTTTGCGTTTTCGAGAATTGCTCAGTTTTAAACTCTGGCCCATTCTGCAGTTCTCATAAACAGTGAAATTGTGTTAACAATGTTTTCTTTTCTATTTTATGACAAAACAAAGCTTGAACATGCTCAAACATCCAGGCTGATGTGTAATATTCCACCAACTAGATTTGAGAGAACATTTCAGTATAGACTGATCTATCTCTGCTTCAGTAGAGAAATAATTTAACGGTATACATTCAGCAAAAGAAGAAGTGCAACTGAGTCTTTCAAAAGGTCAAGGATAATTAAGTGCTGGGTCCAGAGGATATAATGAGTATTATTCACAGTAGTATGCACTTAATATTTACATGAAAAAGAAGTTTTCTGTTGAAAGGTGACAATGCAATAACACTTTGCTGTTCAAATGTATCTGCTGGTTTTTATCTTCTATGGGTATGGCAAAGAGTGAGACACAGGAACAGAGCCTGCATCTGCTGATTTCATTTCCCTACAATGGCAGGGCTAAGGCCTGGAACTCATATCCAGATCTCCCATGTGGGGCTCAGTGTTCTAATGACCTGCCCTAAGCTGGGATTGAGAGCCACAGCCATGACTGGAGACCCGGAACCCCAATATGGGACACAATTATCTTAATGGGTATCTTAACTGCTAAGTCAAATGACCACTTAAAATGCTAGATCCTTGAAAAATTCGAGTTCCTTCATCAGAGAGCTGCTCTTACATCCTAGTGGGACTTGATGCAGCCCAAACAGAAGCTTGCAAGTGAGAACATAGACAAGAATTAAATGCAGAGCCTAGCACGGTAGCCTAATGGCTTAAGTCCTTGTCTTAAGTCCAGGAAACCATATGGCTGCTGATTCGAATCCTGCTGCTCCACTTCCTATCCAGCTCCCTGCCTGTAGCCTGGGAAAGCAGTAGAGGACGGCCTAAAGCCTTGGAACCCAGCACCTGCATGGGAGACACGAAAGAAGCTCCTGGCTTTGGATCGAATCAGCTCAGCTCTGGCCTTTGCGGCTATCTGGGGAGTGAACCAGTGGATGGAAGATCATTCTCTCTTTCTCCTTTCTGTATTTCCAACAAAAATAAATCTTTAAACAAAGAATTAAATGCATATGAAAAGCCCCTATTTTTCATGCTATCCTGGAAGAGCATTTAAACAACAAACCTTTTTATTTTAAAAGGAGTAACATTCTCAAATCCTGCCCCCCCCCCCGCAACATAGCCCCCAAACGATCATCACCCTTTACTACTATTCCAACAGCTATGAGCTTTAGTAGGGATATCTCAACTCTTCCATTCTGCAAGTCTTTGTTTCCCAGCCAAATACAACATAGGGCATTCAGGTGGCCTGCGAGGTGCCCAAGGGGCGCAGAGCTGTTGTTTTGGGAATAGCTAAAACTCTGAGCTAAAGCAACACACTGCAGGATTAAGAGCCTTTTCTTTCACACTGTTATCCAAAGAAACAGCAACCTGCCTGTCTCGGGTTGTAGTGCTGTTCCATTTAACAGGTTAGGACAGTTATCTTCCACTCAAGGACTGTTGAAAAACGTGTCAGACATGCCTTTCAACATTGGACAGCAGTCATTAACCAGAGGTATCAGAGCAGCAAAGCGGCTGGGAACATCATCATCTAAAAATATAGCCACTCACATACCAGTTGATGAATAAAACAAGCACCCTGCTCTGGAAATCTCTGCTTTTTATGAGCATATTACTTTTAGTAGTTATAAGCACTCACTCTGTGCCTAGTAGTTACATTAGCCAATTAAAGTAAAAAAAAATTCATAATTTATATCTTTTCTGTTTAGAGCAACAAACACATCCCGGTTTTGATGCAGGACACACAGGGGACTGTTGAGGATGAACTTTTATTTAATGATACATACATACACGCTGATCGCTTAACTTTCAGAAGTATGGAACCAGGTGGAAAACTCGAGGCCACTAAAAGTAACACGTGGAATCAGGAAGAGGCTTTTCAAACTCTGCCAGTAAGTTTAAATCCGCTTTAGCCTCCAGAGCTTCTGAAATAGGATTGTAGACCTGTAAATTTCAGGTTTCCTGAATAGGGGGGTCTAACCCTCCGATTCAGCATTTAATTCCCTCCCCTAACAACGCACATGCAGAAAATAAGAATTTCTCTCTAGACTTTCCAGCTGACTTTGTTATTTTCTGATTATGGGTGAATAGTTCATTCTCCATTCATAGTAAGGAACGTTTAGGGCTGGAAGGCTTTGACATATACTAGGAACAGCTTCCAGTAAATTGTCCTTGGCCGAACGTAAAGAACTATGCTCAGAGCCACGAAATCTGCTTTTTTTTTAAACGCTAACAATTCAGATGGTGCTTCTCTTTTTCTAGCCCTGAATTGGTTCTCTTTTCGGTTGCTACCAAGGCCATGTAGCCTCTTAGAAGTCAAACCTGTGGGGCCGCAGCCTGGACAATCAAAAGGTGGGGGGAAAGAAAGAAGACATCGCTGCGGGAGAGGCAGCTCCACCTGTTGAGGTCAGTTGGCTCACGGGGCTCGCCCCAGGTAAGGCTGGGCCGCGGCCACTCCCTCTGTGCAGAAGCACGCCGCAGTGGCTCTGCCAGCTCCTGCCCGTCGACGGGCGAGGGCAGCGCACGGCAGCCCCGACCGCGCTGCTCAGAAGGCAACAGCGATCGAGACGGGTCAGCGGCCTCGCGTGGACCCGGCACCGGAGGCGGGGGCAGCACGGGCCGGGGGCGCGGGCCCTGGTGGAGTGAGGGGGAGGAGGGCCGTGCCACGCGCCGAGGAAGAAAGCCTGACTCATGTCGTGGCGGCGGCGACAGGCTCCTGGGAATTGAAACTCGTGATGCTGTTGCTGCGGAGAAAAGCCTCATTACCCATTCCGCAGGCCGGGGTGGGGTGGGGAGGGGGACACCCCCCAGGGCGCGCCCCCCGAGACCGGCCCCCGCCTCGGCCCACGTGCGCGGGCCCGCGGGCGCGCGCCGGCCGCGTGTGAGAACGCAGGGGACACACCTAACCCGCACGCGCGCGCCCGCTCGCCGCCCCACCCCCCGGCGAGGCGCAGTCACTCTGTGCGACCCGGATTCGCTCCTTAGGCCGAGGCGTCCCCCCCCCCCCCGCCTCCCTCCCCGAGGCGAAGGCGCCTCCGGCAGCCTTCGGCAATTTCCGTCTCGAAGACCCGAAGCTCGGCCAGGCCCGAAGACCTGCCGCCTCCTTTCCAGTCAGACCCGGCTTTATGTCTGCGGCGCCGGGGCGCATGCGCAGACGCCATCTTCCCTCCTTTCCCCTCCTTCTGCCCCCTCCCGCCGCCGCCGCCGCCTCTCGCTGGCGGTCGCCCCTCCTCCTCCTGCGCTCGGGCGCTGGTCCCTCCTCTCCCGATGCCGCCAGAGACTGGGGGGTACGGCGGAGCCCGAGAAGAGCACTAGTAACAACCACCACAGCCCCCTTCTCCGCCCGACACCCTCCCTCGGCACCCACCCGCTCCCCCGCCCCGTTGGCCGACACCGACCAACCCCACCTCTCGTTCCTTTGAACGGCGTCGGCTGCAGTCGCTGCACCAGCCCCGTCTGGCCACCGACACCGCCGAGAAAAGGAGCCGTCGTCGCCGCCGCCACCGCCTGCGGCCCCCCTTCCGCCCGGCCCCGGGAGCAGCAGCAGCAGCAGGAGCAGCAGCGGCGGCGGGGTGAGGACGAACCGGCTGCGGAGGAAGAGGACGAGGGAGAGGCTCGCACACACCTCTGCTCCAGCGCTCGTCCCGCCCGCCCTGCGGGGAGGCTCGGGCGCCGCCGGCCCCTTCCTCCCCCGAGGACGTGTGCCGAGCCCAGGCGCCTGCCCCGAGGGAGGAAAATGCTCGGGCTCCATGGCTGCCAGTGATGGAGCGGTCCCTGGGCTCCCGCCGCCGCTGCCACCGCCGCCGCCGCGCCCCGGCCGTGCTCCGCGAGGACCCGGCGTCTCTGCGCGCCCGCCCGCGCCTCGTTGCTGGGCTCACCGTACCGGGCGCCCCGCCGCCGCCGCCGTCGTCGCCGCGCCGCTCGCAGCCGCGCCGCCCGGGCCCCCGCCGCGGCCAGCGTTTCCTCCCGGAGCAGCCGCCGCGAGCCCAGGGGGTTTGAAAGGGTCTGCGGGGCGTGGGGGGAGGGCCGAGCCGGGCCGGCGGCACCGGGAACGGGAGGTTTGAGCGACAGTGAGCTCGGGGCTCGCCGGCGGCGGCGAGAGGGAAAGGCGACACTCGCTCGGCGCTGCCTCTCCGTGCAGAGCGACCGGGAGGGCTTTTGCAGCGGCGGCCGCCGCCGCGGCGGGAGGAGGGGGCTGAGGTGGCTTCGGAGTTGGCCAAAGAAGGTGGGCATTTCTCGCTTTTCCTGCCCTCTCTCCTCCTCTCCCCTCTCCTGCTCTCCTCCCCCCCCCCCCGCTGCCCCGCACCCCACGTGAAGCGGAATATAAAGGGGGGTGTGAGACTAGAGGGAAAGTGAATGGCGAAGGACTGAGGGGGGTGGTCCCCCTTCGGGTCCCCGGCCGCCCTGTTCACCCTGGTTCATCCTCCCTTTCCGAAGCTCGCCCGCGAAGGCAGGAGGAGCTGCCGGCGCCTTCGGCTGAGGAGGAGGAGGAGAAGGAGGACTCGCGCCGGGAGGAGCGTCAGGTCCCGTTTTCCTCTCCGGCGTCTCGAATACAAAGATTACGGTGCAGAAGGAAATTGCACTCGCCTCCTCCGCCCCCCGGTACCCGACACAATGCACCAGCCGCCCGAGTCCGCCGCCGCGGCGGCCGCCGCAGACATTAGTGCTAGGAAGATGGCGCACCCGGCAATGTTCCCTCGAAGGGGCAGCGGTGGTGGCAGCGCCTCTGCTCTCGGTGCAGCAGGTACCGGCGTCGGGAGTACTGCCACATCCTCCGACGATTTTCCGCCGCCCTCGCTGCTCCAGCCGCCGCCTCCCGCAGCATCTTCCTCGTCGGGACCACAGCCTCCGCCTCCACAAAGCCTGAACCTCCTTCCGCAGGCTCAGCTGCAGGCACAGCCTCTTGCGCCAGGCGGAACTCAAATGAAAAAGAAAAGTGGCTTCCAGATAACTAGCGTCACTCCGGCTCAGATCTCCGCCAGTATCAGCTCCAACAACAGTATCGCGGAGGACACTGAGAGCTATGATGATCTGGATGAGTCTCACACGGAAGACCTCTCTTCCTCCGAGATCCTGGATGTGTCACTTTCCAGGGCTACTGACTTAGGGGAGCCTGAACGCAGCTCCTCAGAAGAGACTCTGAATAACTTCCAGGAAGCCGAGACACCTGGGGCAGTCTCTCCCAATCAGCCCCACCTTCCTCAACCTCATTTGCCTCACCTTCCCCAACAGAATGTTGTGATCAATGGGAATGCTCATCCACACCACCTCCATCACCATCACATTCATCATGGGCACCACCTCCACCACGGGCACCACCATCCATCCCATGCTGCTGTGGCCAGTGCATCCATTCCTGGAGGACCACCCTCAAGCCCAGTGTCCAGAAAACTCTCCACAACTGGAAGCTCTGATGGTGTTGCACCAGTTGCACCAGCTTCTGCTGTATCATCGAGCGTCTCACCTGCGTCTGTAATGACTAATATCCGGGCTCCTAGCACTGCAGGCGGGATAGGTATAAATTCTGTTCCTGGCGTTAATACAGTGAATAATGTCGGTGTTGCTGCTGTGGGTAGTTTCAGTCCTAGTGTGACAAGCAGTGTGCTGGGTAGTGCTAATATAAGTACAAGCAATATTCCTAGTGCTGCTAGTGTGAGTGTTGGGCCTGGAGTTCCTAGTGGTGTAAATGTGAGTATCTTGAGTGGCATGGGCAATGGGACTGTGTCTTCTGCCACGGCTGTTAACAGTGTCCCCAGTGCAGCCCCAGGGATGACTGTGGGATTGGTTTCAAGTCAGCAGCAACAACCAACAGTTAACACGTCAAGGTTCAGAGTTGTGAAGTTAGATTCTAGTTCGGAGCCTTTTAAAAAAGGCAGATGGACCTGCACTGAGTTCTATGAAAAAGAAAATACTGTACCTGCTACTGAAGGCGTGGCGATCAACAAGGTGGTGGAGACTGTAAGACAGAACCCGGTGGAAGTACCTTCTGAGAGAGAGAGCACGAGTGGGAGCTCTGTGAGCAGTAGTGTCAGCACTCTGAGTCACTACACAGAGAGTGTAGGAAGTGGAGAGATGGGAACCCCTACAGCGGGGGCACAGCAGCAGCAGCCGCTGCAGGTACCAGCTCATCAAGGGGTAGGCCTTCAACCCATGGATTTCAGTAGCACTGGGCCCCAGAGTTTTTCTCAGTCACAGATATCGCAAGTACAATTACAGTCTCAAGAACTGAGCTATCAGCAAAAGCAAGGTCTTCAGCCAGTACCTCTGCAAGCCACCATTAATGCTGCAACTAGTATCCAGCCAGCACCTGTGAATGTGGTTGGTGTAACTTCAGCTTTAGGTCAACAACCTTCCATTTCTAGTCTGGCTCAACCCCAACTGCCATATTCCCAGACGGCTCCCCCAGTGCAAACTCCTCTTCCAGGGGCACCACCGCAGCAGTTACAATATGGACAACATCAACCAATGGTTTCTACGCAGTTGGCCCCGGGCCATGGTCAACCGGTGACTCAGAATCCTACTTCAGAGTTTGTGCAACAGCAGCCGATCCTTCAGACAGCAATGTCCTCTGGTCAGCCCAGTTCTGCAGGAGTGGGAGCAGGAACAACAGTGATTCCTGTGGCTCAGCCCCAGGGCGTCCAGCTGCCAGTGCAGCCCACAGCAGTCCAAGCACAGCCTGCAGGGGCAGCGGGCCAACCTGTTGGCCAGGCTCCGACAGCAGTGTCTGCTGTACCTGCTGGCAGTCAAATTGCAAATATTGGTCAACAGGCAAACATCCCTGCAGCAGTGCAGCAGTCCTCTACCCAAGTTACACCTTCAGTTATTCAGCAAGGTGCTCCTCCATCTTCACAAGTAGTTCCACCTGCTCAAACTGGGATTCTTCATCAGGGAGTTCAAACTAGCGCTCCAAGCCTTCCTCAACAATTGGTTATTACACCCCAGAGTACCTTGTTAACTGTGCCTCCCCAGCCACAAGGAGTAGAACCAGTAGCTCAAGGAGTTGTTTCACAGCAGATGCCTGCAGTTAGCCCTTTGCCCTCTGCTAGTAGTATTTCTGTTACAAATCAGGTTAGTTCAACTGGTCCTTCTGGAATGCCTTCTGCCCCAACAAACTTGATTCCACCACAGAATATAGCACAAACCCCTGCCACTCAAAATGGTAATTTGGTTCAAAGTGTTAGCCAACCTCCCTTGATAGCAACTAATATAAATTTGCCTTTGGCACAGCAGATACCACTAAGTTCTACTCAGTTCTCTGCACAATCGTTAGCTCAGGCCATTGGAAGCCAAATTGAAGATGCCAGGCGTCCAGCGGAGCCCTCATTAGTTGGCTTACCTCAGACTATCAGTGGTGACAGTGGGGGAATGTCGGCAGTTTCAGATGGGAGTAGCAGCAGCCTAGCAGCCTCTGCTTCTCTTTTCCCGTTGAAGGTGCTACCGCTGACGACACCCCTGGTGGATGGTGAAGATGAGAGGTAAGACCATGTCATATTTCTGCAGACATTCAACAGATTCCAAATTCTATCTAGTAAATATTTGTATATATATATATATACACAAAATTAGTCTAAAGCAAAATAGTTTTAATTTGTTGTAGAAAATGTATTTTCATAGCTTTTCTAGAGGAAGGAATATTGTGGAATGATTTCAGAGTGACTAGGAAAGTGGGTAAAGAGAATTTGGTAGTTACTACTGAACATCTTTTCACATTTAAAACAGGTTGGGGGGGGTTCACCACGTGGTTTTTATTTATAAAATGCTTTCTAGAAAGATTAGTTATTAAAAGCTTGATTTTTGCCAACACATAATTATTTTGAGTTAGAAAAATCTCTGTGCTGCTCTCTTGGAGGGCTTGTGCTCCCGGCATTTGTTCTCCTTTACTAGATAACCTTTTGCAGTTCCACTGTTTTTGATCTTTGTGAAAGATTCTGTTACCCGCTTTCCCCAGTCCAACACTGAGGAAAGGATGACCTACTCTGGGTTACATAGGTTGCTCTTATACTGTAACTGACCAACTTTTGTGTGCACTTTCAATGGTCATTTTCTCTCAACAAGAAAAATTTGAGATCTTTAAAAATGTTTTGCTGTGTAAGAGCATACGGCTGTTAAAATAACCAGAGTTATCTGTTAGTATGCCACGTGTTTTTTTTTCCTTTTGCATATTAGCTAAAGGTGGTAGCCATTTTAAGAGTAAAGAAAGTCTTGCATTTGTTGAGCCATGAAAATGAGATGTTCTTCTGCTAATCTACTACACCTGTTCCCTACTTGGCTTACCAAAAATACACAGAGAACTTAAAATACATTATTAAATCAAGATCCTCTAAGGATGGAAATAGTGTGTTCATTATGCTTATTGAATCAAAGTATGTCTTTTTAAGAAATGGAATGGCTAGAAAAGTTGTGAAATCTTTCGTATTTTAACATTGTTTTGAAGCCTGATTTATTTTTAAAGGAATGTTCTTTTCACAGATTTGCCAATCTGTAACTAACTAGGGTTAAAATATAGGAATTATGAAGACTATTCATTTGCACTGGAATTTTAAGTGTGCAAGATACTTATTTTAGTCTTACATGGAAATTTTTGTGATTGAACTTTTTCAACCAATTGAAGCACTGATATTCAATATGTATATTTGTGGGTTTCACTTTGGAAAATTGGGCATGTTGCAAAAGAATTGCAATTTCAGAAAAAAAAAAGGCCAAATGTTTCCGTGACATTTAAAAAAATTTTTTTAGGTGTTTGAAAGATGAAAAAAGTCATGTTTAGTTGAAATAAGTTAAAGTCTTGTCTTTCAGGATTTTTATTTTTCTAAATAACAAGATTTTAATTACATTATTATCTGACCAAATGTATTCCATACCATTTGTACAAAATTACTCTTCAAAAGATAGATGCTGAGGACACAGCTCCTTCCATCATCCCATCACAATTCTGTCAAATGTTAATTTTATCGATTTCATTCTGATAATGACTTGTTTGAAAGACTTACATCAAATATTTTCTAAATTAAAATGGTGTATTGTGAGCCAAGATCGTATAGAAACAGGTAAAACACATGGCTGCTACTTTTAGGGAAATAAAAGCAGTTGAAATACCCAAGTGAAAACCCACACGTTGTGAACACAAAGCTGCAATAACTGTGGTCTCCTGGTATGACTGTCCTGGTGGCAGGGCCTGATAGGGTTTTCCAGAGCTTGCTGTTCCAGGCTGTTAAAAGTCAGGCGATGCTACTTTTAACTAGGTTTTTAACTGTAGTCGTGGAAGACTATTTAAGATACTAGTACAAGATTAAATTTTCCAGATAATAACAGATTGAGAGTAATTAGGGACAGGAAGGTTAGAATTCTGGAAAAGGACAAGAAGGTAACACTGAGATATGAAATACTGGCTAAAAGTCACCAGTCCTCAGTTTGTTCATGTTTTGGGAGTCAGTGTTAAGCGTTAGAGTTAGTCATTAGAACTGGAAGGGTGTTGTTTCGGAGATGTCCTTCAATGTCTGTAAAATCAACACATCTCAGGTCTCCAAATACTGCTAAATTGGAAAGGATAGATGTGAGTATTGTGTAATCTTTATAGTGTCTTAGTGCAGATTATTTTATAATTACAGGTTGGAAAAGGAAATGTTCATTAAATTTTCCCAAGAAAGAGAGTTTGAGAATACTTACAAGAGAAAAAAGTGATATTATTGAAGAAAAATTCTGTTTGCTTCTGTGGTAGCTTCTCCAGCTCACTGGTACTCTCCGGGCTTGGTTACTGTGCCTCTTGTGGGAGAAAGAGGGGCATTATCATTTCAGTGTTAGGACTTAGAAATGTGCAACAGTATAACTTTTGGATGGGAGAACAAATCCCAGTGCTTAATACTTTAGATTTTAAAAGGTTCATTAGACTTGTGGAAGATGCTTTCAATTGGCCCCTTCAGACTGTAGAGATGGGACCCAAACGTTAAAATTACCTTGTTTTTCAAAATTCGTTTCTGCCTGAAAAGGTCTCAGTGTTTTAGGTTTTAACCTGGCTTTGTCTTTCAGTAATGGGAAGATGCCAGTGTTTCATACTGAAATGGAATCTTTTGTGATCTGTTATTTCAGCCTCTCACAGAAATTGGTCAAATTTCTCTTCCTCCTTCAAAACTGCAGAGATGTTCCTTCTGAAACGTCTTCCTTGCCCAGGACATGTTGTTTCCCTAGTACTTCCTAATGTTCCTTTATTTAAGCGCTGTTCACTTTCAATTACAATTATGCTTACCAGTCTTTTCCAAAAGACTAGGATTTCCTCAAGGGCAGGGAGTAAAAAATTTTTTGTGTGTGTGCAAATTAATGAGCAGACCTTTCTCTACTTTTCCTATTACAACTTGAAACTTATGTTGTCTCTTGTCTTGCACACCTGTTGGAGCTACAGTATCTTCTAATGTCTGAAATGTGTTGAAAAGTACCTTCTAAATACAGTGACTGTTTTATGGTAGGCTCTCAGATATTTATAGAGGAATATTTTACATACAAAATGGTAAGATTCACTTTACATGCTTCAGAGAATGGTAGTATCATTTGAAACAGCTGCTGAATACCAAATTATAACTTCTTACTTTATATGCACCAGTAGAAGTGTGGAGTCGCTTACATTTTTATCTTCAAAGAAAAAATTAAGGAGCCTCCTGGTCCATTCCTTCCTAGTTTTCCTGTCCTAGAAGCAACCATTGTGACCTCTTTCAGATGGTTACTGTGATATTCAACTCCTAGGCTTTACCCTGCTTGTGTGGCAACTAGATACTCATTGTAGCTCGATGCACTGGGAATATGGACTTGGGTACTGGGCTACTTGGATTGGATTCTTCCTCTGCTATTGGCTACTTCCCGGTAACTTTGGGCTACTTACCTCTCTATACCTCACATTTCTTGATTTAAACAAATATTATCTGCCTCATAAGATTGCATTAAAAATTCAATGTGCTTGGAAAGCCTTTTGAACTTTGACTTTCATAAATCAAGTGTTAAACTACTCCTTGCTTTTCTTTCTCTTTTTTGTTTTATTGACTTCTTGGATAGATAACAAAGACTTAATCCTGCTTTTACCAGCTACCTAGCTGTTCCCCTTCTTCCCAAGAATTAGGATTGTATGGCTATTGATTATTCTGTATTCTGTAAAGTATGTTTGCTTTTCCTATCAAATACAATGTCTTGTGAGTGCCTTGTTGCTACCACCCTGTCCCCAACTATCATTTGTAGAAATGTGTGTTCTCCCTTTGCAAGTTTTCATCTTTAGCGTGATTTGTTTACTTCAAGATACCTGTTTCCTCTCTTCCTTTTCTTCCCTCCCTGTTTTGTTTATTTGGCCTCTACCTTTCTGGACAACAGCCCTTCCTCAGATGCCTGCTGATTGTTGATTAAAGAGATGATCACAGGTTTTCTTATGGTTTGTTGACTTTTGATTTTACCATGAAGTGATCTGGCTGATGTTCATTGTTTGTCCTCATCCCCCATTTGCTTACTTTCCTCATTTTAATCATTCTTTCTGTTTCATACATTCTATCTGGTTTTGTTATCAATTTGTCTTCCTGAGAAAAGTTTCTTTCCTGTTCCTCTGACCTTCTTCCCTTTCTGATTGCCTTGTAGGCTTGTTCTGGGATTCCATTCATTTTCTGAATTGGATCTTCTTGTTGATTTATTTGTCATTTTTGAAATGACTTGGTTTAACCTGATCACTTGCTTGATTCATTAGGTCATGAATACAGGTGGAGAAATTATGCTCATAATGTTGCACCAATGCTTTTTGGCGTCCATGCTGCTTTTGAGAAATTGCATACCGATTTTTCAGATATTATATCTAACGTGTTTGCTTTTTCTTCCTTTTCCTCTCTCCTTTCTCTCTGCATATTTAAAATCTCTGAAAGCCTTTACCATTCTTAACTGTTGAGTTTCTATGTATGTCTCTATTTCCTTTGTAGTGCCAAAATCTTGGTACATCTTTTTAAGGTGGAAACATCTTCTATTTCTGGAATTAGTTTCCTTGAATGAAATTGTTGATTATTTCCACTTTTTTTTTTCCCTTTTCTTTCTTTCACAATCTTCTCTTATGGATAGGAAACCTTAACTGGTCTTCTGATGTACTTCTAGCATTTTCAAAAATTTTTATTTATTTATTTGAAAGACATAGAGATACACAATGAGAGAGAGACTGAAGAGCCGTTGACCATCTAACTGCTGGGTCACTCTGCAAATTTCCACAGCAGCTGGAGCTTTGCCTGGTTGAATCTAGGAAATCAAAAGTTGATCTTGGTCTCCCACATGAGTGACAGGGATGTGACTACTTGAGCCATTGGTTCTCTGGGATCTGCATTAGAGGAAGGTGGATTTGGGAACAGACCTACCATTCAAACCCAAGCACTCTTATAGGGAATCTGGGTATCAAAAACAGTATCTTAACTGCTGTACCAAAAGCTTACCAATTTCTCTTATTTTCTTAACTATTTTGTTGTTTCTA